GGAAGCTAATCATGCCATACTGGATGATCCGCCGTATCATCATACCATAAATTTATGTACTTCATATTGATCTCCATGGAATCTTCGGATAGTTACACACGAAGAACCATGCAGTTCTAAATTGAACAGCTTTCTGGAGACTATTTGATGAATGTAGAGAACTGTGGAACATGTTTTAATTTTTAATTTTTATTTTTCTTTTAATCTTATAAGTGATTCTGATAGATGTTTCAGGCTATCACGGAGCCTAATAAACTATGTGGTTAAGATCCACTATTATGCACTTCCGTTGATATTAATTGGAGAGAATCAGAGTTTGTTATGCCTAGGAAACAGTAAAACTTCTTTGGGTTCCTACTCGCATACATGTGCATACGAACGTGCTTATAAGTTATATAAAGGCATTGTAAATGCATAGCTTTGTTTGATTTCATGTTCATAGGGCCTGAGTTCCTTATGATTGTATGTATTGAATTTTAAACTATTTTGTGATTGTAAATATTTGGGTAATCATTCCAAAATGGCTTTTTAATCATTAACACGATACTTGCATAATACCTCTCAAATTTCTTCTATAACATTCAATGGAAACACCTTTGCTGCCTAAAACTTCAAGAACCACCTCGTAAGTATTCTCCATTTAGTTATAGACCAGTTCTACTAATTTCTTAATCACATTTAGTAACTCCAAATAGGCATTTGCAACCAAAGCTGGCCAATATTTGGACTTGTTCACCGTGCATGTTCAATTTTTGTGTTCCACTTTCCTTTGCATCCTTCAGTCGCTGGGAGCAGTGTGGTTTTAACGTTTAAAGGAAATTTTTAGGAGTTATTCATTCCTGTAGAGTATTCATCAAGTCGTTATTTTTAATTCACTCATTATTATTGTACATGGCGTTCATGCTCTTGATGAGTTTCAACTTGTCTAGCCAATCAATGAAGTTGACAAGATTGATGGACCAAGGGATGCGTTCACCTTCTCAATGTTCTATGTACAAATGCGACGATGGATTCCCTGAATCAATCCCATCTTCTCCAACTACTTCTGTGACTAGTTTCACAAACCGGCTTGTAACTGCACACGATGACCTGAAAACCGATGGTCATGTTTTATATCGCCAAAGTCCTCTATCTCGTCAGGTTTCTTATAGCATGGAAAAGTCATCAGAGGCTATGGATTCTAGTAGCCTTGGCATTAAGAATCACTTTCAGAAGGATTCTGCTAGCTTGGAAAATGATGTCAGTAGAGGACATTTCCACTTCTCAATATACAAATGGGCAGGCAAAGGAGTCACACTAGTGATGCCCTCTAAGTCAAACTTACAACATGAGAGTAGGTTTAGAAGATTGCCTGAAATAGTTGTGCAAGAAGTTGATATGATCCTCCATGAAGATGATATGTTGTCGATACCGAATACTACATACAAAAGCGAAGGTAACTTAGCTAAATCAGTGAATGGTATTACAACAGAGACAAAGGTTACTGCAGAGTCAACTACTCCGAAAGGCTCGTTTCCTTCTGAACTTGTGTCCAAGTTCATTCACAGTGATGAAACTGAGACATCAGGTAGCCTTTTGTTATATGATGTTTATTTATATCTTTGGTGCTTAACTTGTGTCCAAGTTCATTCACAGTGATGAAACTGAGACATCAGGTAGCCTTTTTTTATATCCTTCGTGCTTAACTTCGTCATTTTCTGTTATATGCTGTTTATTTAAACTTGTTACAAAGTTGGAAGGAAACTTGGCTTTAATATGTCTTTTTGGGTGCTTCAGATGACATAGATATATGCAACAGCAAAAATGAAGGGGTTTCTGTTATTATGAATGAAGCTCAGACACATAACCTAAAGAATCTTAAACAGCTGGTTGATGATGATCTGGAAAAACAACGTAAGTTCATAGTGTGAATTTACTATATATATTATCCCACAAATTGCTGCTGAACTTCCTCTTTCTGCTTCTCTTTTCTTGTTGACCATAGAAAATGAGGAGATAACTGGGCGAAAAGTCAGAGATACTACTGTATCTCCAGAAGAAAAAATTGCTGGTACTAGGGTGAAGGGATTGGTTAAAGATTTCATTAAAATCTTCAATCAGGAAGATTCACAAAAACGCAAAGGTACATTTCAAGCTCTGGGTAGAAGGTCTAGAGGAAAAGATGAAGGAACAGGCAACTTAGAAGATCAAGTTTTTGTCTTTGTAGACAAAATAGATGAACAAGTGAGAACAACCAGTAGGAGCTACGACAGTAGATTATCAGGGGCACCTTTTCCAGTAAGTTAACAAAAATATCTTAAATTTTATTGTGCAGGTTGGTTAGATTACTGACCTATGATCAACGCCAATGCTACAAGAAGGAATTCAATGTTTACTGAGTAGCTTGTTTGTTATTTCAGATAAATCAAAATTCAGAAATGTCGGAGAAAGTTGACTCCAATATAAGCTTTGATGTTCACATGACTGATGATCCTTTATCAGAAAGGAAAGATCCATTGAGACCATCCTCTGGTCAGTTTCTTGTAAATTTAATAAATCTTGTTTAGCATTATTTGATGCATTCCAGTACATGAATAATTTTAGAACTTTTCCTGTACCAGCTGAAAGTCATTTTATTTGAACCTGTTGTTGTCCCTCGGAGTAATTTGTTTGGGTGCTTGATCTAAGGCCCACAGAGAGATATAAAGACAGGGAACTTATCATATTTAGTTTAAAGGGCTCTCTTAGAAATGCTGTCTGTGCTTTTTTCTTTTTTCGTTTTTTTCCTTTTGGTTAGAATTTCCATAGATGCAGATAGCTATCTTCAAGATTGAAACTTTCATCATATTGCTTGTTAGAAATGCTCATTTTGATCGCTCCATCAATTTGTTTCACATCCTTCTTTGTATGAGGTAGAGGAAGTTGGTTAGGGACAGAACTTTTACAATGTCGGTGGATGCAATTCTGTCACCTGTTGCAGTGAGCTACAACCCTAACACATGATTTCATGTGAGTTTTGTCTTGGATAAGTACTTTTTACTCATATCAAAAGGTTTAAGTCCATAATAATCCTCCAATATGCAATATACTTGCAAGCCCGGACACTTTGTTACCAAAAGCAGTTACTAGAATGGAGAATGGATTAACATGTTACATCGCGTCCTTAAATTATTTATCAAGTATCTTCTTCATTCACGTAATGATCCAATACAAGTTACTATATTTCTTAATTTGCCATACTACCTGTTAATATGATGTCTCCTCTGATGTGTTTTTTTAACCCTTATGTACTGGAAGTGAAATGATAAAAACTTGCAACTGGTAGCCAAGGAATATTTAATAAGCGTTGGTAGTTTTGACATCAGGGGAAACCGTGATGAAGGCTTAATTTTGATGGTTTAGGCATGTTCAACTCATTTGACATGAACATTACTGAAGAGAGGTGTTTGGCTATGTCAATTCAAAGAAAATTTAACACCTGATGATGATGTTGATTGTCATGCGAGAAAGGAATCCGATAAGTAATGGAACCAGTTATACTCCTTAAATTGACATTATTTGTGGAGTAAATCAAACCATGTTTACACTGCAATTTTTGTTTCACATATCCCGACTTATCCCATCCTTGTTTTATTTGTTATCCCTAGCTGGCAAAAGCAGTAGGTAAACTTTTGCTTTAGGTTCTCAGTCTAAGCAAATGGCTATCTTTGACTGTCATTATTTTGATTTCTTGGATATTCATCAAATGGCTGACTGAGATTTTTGGTCATCCAAAAACAGTAAACCTATAAATATCAAGATGAAAAACCTAGAAATATCAAGATGAAAAGGTTCTTCTACTTTCTAAGAGAGATGAAGGAAAGGACAATAATAAGTTTTCACTACTCAAACGTAACGGTGAAAGAAAGTTCAACGTAAAGAAAGAGAGTGCAAGAGGATTTCTGGTTTAACTAATACCCTAAATTCCACTTTAGTTCCAACGTCTAGAACATTGGAAATGGCAATTTGTCCTGTCTAAGATTTAGATCATTGTTTAAGAAGTTAAGGACAGGTGTTTTTATTTTGTTGGCACCTAAGTCTGAGAGTGCCATACAATGCTCAAAAGGATGATTAAATAATATTATTCTACCCTCCCTAGGTAATAAGCTGGCAAGGCTTTCCTATATAACCTTGATATTCTCTTTCTTAACTGTAGAAGATGTGGTCAAGGTTCTTTATTTGTGTGCAACGCTAATGTGTTTTACCTTATTGGTGAAGGAATCAACAAATTGTTTTACCCATTTTTGTATGTTCCAAATTATATTTAGCTTTTCGTAGGTTACTCCTTAACTTTAATACAAGTTCTTTGGCTGAACATAACTCACTATTTGTCTTTTCCCATAACTGCAAGGGGAAACCATCCAAATCACTGACTATAACTATTTCAAACGGAGAACCAAATTTCAGAGATCATAATATTGAGGGATTTCATTTTCTGTATCATTTAGACATTAATTAGGCCAGTTTTGTAGTATTTATGATGTAATTACGATTATTGAGGTTACAATTATATTATTGCTGCCAGATTCAACTCCAGATATCCTTGATGGTTCAGTGAATATAGAAGACCTTAACTGTGATGATCTTGAAGGATGCTTGGTATGTTTACCCTCCATTGCTTTTTTCATTCTCGCATAATTTGAACATACATTCAAAAAACTTCATCATTTCTCTATAGTTGAGTAGCTGAGGCAAGAGTTTGGTTTACTAAGATTAAGAACAGATTTTCATTTTTCAGATGGGCGATAGGAAATGATATTTAGGTTTGCCTCAAGGATTAAGCGGATCTTTTCTTATGATCATGCTTTGAACAATTTGTATATATGTGTCTAGCATGCGCTTCATACCTACATATACAGATATACTGCATCATTATACTGCTTCATGAATTGTGATTAATTTAATGCAAGGTTAAGTGTTATTAAGCAATACCAAACTCAAACGAGTTTATTTTTCCGATAAAGTTTCAAATACTAGATGTCCCCATTATTCCCTTGATACCTGCAATCTGATATGGATTTTGATCATCCTCTATATCTCTGATATCTAATATTTGAAATGTTGATATTTACAAAAATAGAAGATTGCATAAAATAATATCAATTCTAGCAAAAATCCTAAAACCCTGATAAACTCTTCGCCAAACCTTCATCAAAATCATATTTATATCTATCCTGCAAAGGAGGGACCAAGCTTAAGGGTGAAAATGAACAAAACCTTAGTTAAAAGGTTGAGCCTTTATTATCTTCTCCTATATACCTTATCTTCTACATCTTCTCTACTGCTCCTCTATTTCTTTTCTCGTTAGGACTCTATGGTTGTCATGTCTTTCAAATCACCTATTTTCTTATTGTCCATTTTCTGCCGATTCAGTTGTAATACTAGACACTTTCTTCATCCTACTTTAGCACCCAAATCAACAATCTTTATGTGCTTCTTCATCTACTAATCAGGTCTGCAGTCAAGCCATACTAAAATAACTTCTCTATACTTTATAGATTCTTAGGATAGATCAATGAAGCAACAAGATTTTAAATGTAAGATGTCGGGTTCATGTTGGATGACTAAAATTCATGTTGGATAGCGATAATTCGGGATATGTCGGGTATATGAAATAAATATCGGATTGTCATATCAAATGATGTGCATGTGTGTAATATAATATCCTAAATGGAATCTATAGTGCTAAACATACTTAATAAATTATATTGTCTAAACATATAAAAAAGTAAATAACCTATGATGTTTAGGATCACTAACTGATCGCAGACACTAATTTCTTATAATTGTCAGTTATATTGACATTTTCTTTGCGGGTTGCTGTCTTGACCTTGTTAGTTCTATGATAGAGAGATGGGAGAGAAACTAAGAGTGAGAGTGAGAGGGGGGGAGAGAGATAAAGAGATCGAGAATGATGGAGAAGGAAAATTGAGAGAGACTGAGAGGGATAGAGAGATGAGAGATCGAGAATGATGGAGAAGGAAAATTAAGAGAGACTGAGAGGGAGAGGGAGAACTAAGAGAGAGACTAAGAGGGAGAAGGAGAGACTGAGAGGGAGATGAGGGAGGAGATAGGAAGAAGGAGAGACTAAGAGAGAGATGAGGGAGGAGAGAGAGAGAGACTGAGAGAGAGATGAGGGAGGAGACAGAGAGAATGAGACTAAGAGCGAGGAGAGGAAGAGAGATTATCATCTTTGAAGCTTTAGTTTCCACCTACTCATTGTCAAACCCTGGTTTCACTGTAACTAAAAGAGGGCTAGAGAGAGATCAGTACATCACTTTTCATGTGATGAGAAAGAGAGATCAGTACATCACTTTTGATGTGATGAGAGCCCTAGTGTTGAGGAAGACTGAAGAAGAAGATGAAGAGGCGGAAAGTTCTGATAGAGGGTATCGCAATTGATTTGGGCAAAAAAGCTGTAAACAAGAGATATAATTCATATTAGGTTATATTGGGTCGGGTCGGGTCCGATTCAGCCAACTTAACCCAATAGGCTTAATTCACAATTTCCATAAATCAACCATTTTTTCTCTCGAGATATTGCTCGATGTTGAAGTGAGAAATCAGAGAGCTTACCTCTTCCATTCATTCACATGAGTTTATATAGGGTTACATATGGGTAATAGGCTAATGGGTTAATGGGCCCTAACCCGATAACCCAAATACTAATTCTAACACTCCCCCTTAAGTTGGAGCATATATATCAACCATGCCCAACTTGTTACATAGAATAGAAAACACCTTAGGTGATGTAGATTTAGTAAGAATGTCAGCTAACTGTTCGGAGGATGGAGTGAACTGAAGAGAGATCACTTTCTTTTCTCAAGCATCTCTAACAAAGTTACAATCAACTTCAATGTGCTTAGTTCTCTAATGAAATACTGGATTCTTTGCATTATAGATAGCAAACTGGTTATCACAATGCATAGGCATATGACCAGGCTGAGTAAAACCAAGCTCCGTCAACAGCTTCTGTAACCATATCATCTCACATACAGTGTGAGCCATAGCTCTGTATTCTACCTCTACACTAGATCGAGAAACAACATCTTGTTTTTTGCTCCTCTAAGTAACTAGATTTCCTCTAATAAATATGCAAAATCCAGAAGTTGACTTTCTATCTCCTATGTCTCCCACATACCCAGCATCAGAAAAGGCTGAGATGTGTAGATGTTCATGCTTCTTATACAATAATCCTTTTCCAGGACAGCTTTTGACATAAGCTAGAATCCTCAAAGCAGCAGTCCAGTGAACCTCTCTAGGTTTGTGTATAAATCTGCTCAATACTCCAATTGCAAATGTAATATCAGGTCTAGTAATAGTGAGATAGATCAACTTGCCAATCAGTCTCCTATATCGGCTTGCATCATCTAGGAGAGGACTATTATCACGTCATAAATCCACATTCACCTTCATTGGAGTGCTTGCTGGCTTACACCCCAAAAGGCCTATTTTTTCTAATAAGTCCAATACATATTTCCTTTGAGGTAGAAGCAAACGGTCCTTTTGATATGCAATCTCAATCCCAATAAAGTATTTGGGTTTTTTCATATCTTTGATCACAAAGTGACGTGAAAGGTACTCCTTAGTCTCAACTAAGGCAGCAAGATCACTCCCAGTTAGCAGGATGTCATCAACATATATGGCCAGAATCACCAGACCAGCTGTAGTGCGTCGGATAAAGACGGAGTGATTAGATTGACATTGTTTGAAACCGACACCAGATATAACAGTACTAAATTTCTCAAACCATGCCCTTGGACTCTGTTTTAGACCATAAATCGTCTTTTTAAGCTTACAGATAGTATTCTCTCCCTGAGCCACATACCCTGGAGGTTACTCCATATAGACTTCCTCCTGCAAGTCACCATACAAAAAGATATTTTTAACATCCAGCTGAAACATTGTCCAGTCCAGGTTAACAACCATAGAGAAAAGTAGACGAATGGAATTAAGGTGGGCTACGGGAGAGAATGTCTCAAGATAATCGACCCTATAGGTTTGAGTATATCCCTTAGCAACAAGACGTGCTTTATAACGATCAATCGAACCATCGGTACGATACTTCAAGGTATAAACCCACCGACAGCCAACTACAGTAGCGCTTGTTGGAGAAGATACAAGATCCCAAGTCCCTCTAGAAACAAGTGCATCCATCTCCTCATCCATGGTCTGTTTCCAAGCATGATCTAATACGACCTCCTCATATGACCTAGGTAGAGACATAGAGGACAATGACAAAGCAAACTGACGAGAAGAGGGAGTAAGACGGTCATACGAAACAAAATCAGATATAGGATGATTAGTTCAAGACCGTTTATCTTTTCGATGAGCAACTGGAATATCTAGATCAGATGGATTAGAAGGAGGCAGACCTACAACGGGAGATGATTGTTCGGCTGGAGCAAAGAGAAGGACAGGAACTTTTGAACGACGATAATACGTTAGTAGTGATGATGGTGCAGACGGCATAGTGAAAGCATTTTGTAGTCTCGGAGAAGATCTATCAGCAAAATAAACCGAAGCAGGTAATAGAACAGTAGTATGAGCGAGAGACGGAAGAGGAAAAGATGAACTGACAGTTGGGGGTGAACCAGTCAAGGAGAAGTATGGAACCGACTCAAAAAATATTACGTCTGCAGACAAAATATTTTCTGGAGGATAGATTATAACACCGATAACCTCTTTGAGTTCGCGAGTAGCCTACAAAGACACACTTAATAGACCGTGGAGATAGTTTATCTAGTCCTGGAGACAAATCCTGAACAAAGCAAGTACAACAAAAAACACGAGGAACCACAGGAAAAGGTTTTTTGTTAGGATAAAGGCAGGTGAATGATATTTTACCATTAAGAACAGGAGAGGGCATCCTATTGATCAGGAAACATGCACTGAGAACAGCATCAGACCACAAATATTTTGAAGCATTCATATGTATCATCATGGTCCGAGCAACATCTAAAATGTGTCTATGCTTTCTTTCTGTAACTCTATTTTGTTATGACGTGTAAGAACATGAAGTTTGATGGATAATGCCAATATTTGCACAAACGCGAGAGATGATATTTTTCATGTATTCTAAGGCATTATCGGTACGAAGGACACGGATAGAGGTGGAGAATTGATTTTTGATTTCGTTGTAAAAGATTTCAAAAACAGTCAAAACCTCAGATCTCTCTTTTAGTAGATATAGCCAAGTCATGCGAGAGAAATCATCAATAAAGACAAGAAAATACCGATAACCCTTAACAGTCATAATCTATATATGAGTTTGTGAATGACTGAGCTTTCTATAAAGCTTTGCAAACCTAAACTGGTAAAGTTGGATGTAGAATATTAAAGGTGATCAGTACATGTTTCTATCTTTGTCCGTTGAAGTATTAGTACAAGCAATAATCTACTTTAGAAGTCTATGAAAATTCTCATACTAAAGCTACGATGATAAAGTAAACCAAAATTGAAAGAGAATCTAGACAAATGAGATTTTATAATTTAAAACGCATTACAAGATTGGGGTTGAAAGTTTTATTGTGGCATAAATTATTATGGAAAGGATTGTAAACCAAACAAAAATATGCGGGAAACACTTGTCAGTTATAATTAGGGCTATGAAAAGAATGGAAGACATGACAAATTAACTCAAGTTGAACTAATGCTATCAACTCAGATTAATGATCAGATTTCTTTTGATCAGGAAAATAACGACATAGATTTGTTCTTGGGCTTGATTTTGGGATATATCTTATTAAAATTAGGATATTTTCACTATTGGTCCCTTAAATTTTTAGTATTTTGGTATTGGTCCCCCAAATATCACTATACTTTGATAGTAGCCCCTCAAATCATTTTAACATGTTAATATTGGTCCCTCAAGTTAGTTGGTATTAAAATGGTGGAAGAATATTTATTTTTCTTTATCTTTTTTGTTGAACGGATAGTTATACCTCTCAGTTCACATATCCACCACATTGCTCTTTATACTTGTACCCATTAAGATCATCAAACCCAAACTAGTTTAATTAAAACCCAAACCAATTTCACTTGCCTTCTTTTCCAACAACCTCCTATTACCTAAATGATTCAACTCAAAATTTAGATCAATCTAGAAATTAAGTTGGTAAGGGTTGATCCAAGTTCCATGTTGCAAAATAACAAAACAAAGAACACATACATTGAACACAAGTGTATTCAAGTATACAACTATGTTCAAATCAAGTCAACACAGTTAGACAAGTAACCAAGAATTAGAGCCCATTAATATACTATTTTGAAGCCCATGGTATAGCCAGATATATCGACCGATATATTCTTAAGGATTTCTAAAAACAATTTAGTTTCAACATCCTTTTCTGATTTTTGGCAATTTGGTTGATATATCCCCGACATGGCCAATATATCAGCTTATTTGTTAGTCAATATATCGTCTTATATATTGCAAAACAAATTAGTTCTACAAACTTTCTTTAATGTTTTTTTAATAAAAATTCCATCCATGTGTTATTTTTTAGCAAAATTCTAGTACAGCCTTTTTCTAGGTAAGTTTTTATGATTGGGTAGCGATAAAATATTTTATTTACAGTTTTGCATGCTTAGATATCGTTAAATATGTTTAGGTTAGTTTTTAGGACATGATATTATATATGCACCTTATCTGATACAACATTTTGATATATTTATTAGTTACTACATATCCTTGAAATTTCCACTAATGCCCGATACTTAAAACCCTGCATTACTCCACAGTTAATTGAAAGTACACTAAGAAATGAGAGGAAATCAACAAAGATAGAGTAAGAGAGAGATTTTGCTTACGTTTGCTACTAGAGGAGAGAGATTCTCCCCGTTAGCTGCAACAAGTAGAGAAAGAGAGCAAGTATGTAAAATTATAGCAGTGCAACATTGTAGAAATTGTAGGGGGAAGAGAGTGGTTATCCATGGTTAGTCTGAACCCAATCATGGTTTATGGTTTGAACGGTAGGACTGATGAAAGAACTAATATCAATATATTAAGATGATTTGAATGTTTAATATCAAAATACAATGATCGGGGCGAGTAATAATATCAAAATACTAAAGATTTAAGAGACTAATATTGAAAAAACTCTTATATTTATCAATAATGTTATTAGTTCACAACCAGTGTTAAGACATAAATTTGCTTGTTGGAATGGAATCATATTTCATGTATGTCCATGCAATCACATATGATTAGTACTTATGATTGTTTAATAAAATATTGATGGCTAAAATAACAAATTGGTACTTCTTGTATATCCCCCTTAACTGGTCTAATATGAAAAGTTTCTTTGACAATTTTTTGGTATTAAAAGTACGCCAACTGTGCAATTAGTCAACTTTTCCACCACTGGCAAAAAACTTAGTGGAAAATTTGCATGTGACCTATGTGAATTAATTTTAGGGTTAGTCGAATGCTGATGTAACTTTGTTTAACCAACGTGGTTGGATTTAAATGACGTGCCACAGATTAAATTATAGATTTTTTATTACTTTATGTGCTTTTAAAGATGTAAATGGTTAGTAGGATGGTTATTAGTATTTAATTGAATAAGAATATAGTTTTTTGTTGTAAATTTGTTTGACTGGCTAAATTTCCCCCCAAAATTTCACTAATGACAAAGAAAAATGCTTAATTACAGAATAGTGGACTTTTATTACCCAAAAGTCACATCAGAAACTGTTAACATCAAACTAGTTAAGGGGAGTTACAAAAAAATCAATTAGGTAATTTAGCCAAACATTGGCTCATCTATATAAGAACATATTAAAGGTCAGCACTGGTTAAACTACTCTTGGGTTGTAACAATGAAGAACTTCTAGTTCCAGTATAGCTATGTTACCTAGGTACTTATTTGAAAGCCGTACCCGTACCCAAACTTCTTGGACACTTCTTGAATATATGCACACATTTGTTCAAACTTATACTCAATTATATACCACATGTTTTAATTTAAAACACTCCTCATACACTTCTTGGATGTATATTCTATACACTTCACATCTATTTCTAATATATTGATCTTATATAAATGAAAAAAAAATATTGACCTTATATAAATTATTAATTTTAATGCATATAAATATAGACAACATACATATTTATAGTCATGTCCCCATACCCTACTTTTTTTCAAATTTGTCGTGTCCCATACTCGTACCTATACCAGCGCCCGTATCCATACCCATGCAACTTAGCATTACAGTGGACAATGAACATGCAGAAAAATGGCTAATGTTTAATTTATCTTGTTTCTATTTGCATCATACGGTCCCCTTTATGGTTTATGCAAAATATTTATTTATCCGTTGGACTTTGCTGCAATCTTGAATGCATAATAAAAAATTCTGTTTTTCCCCAGCATTTTAAATCACGTTTCCATCAAAGAAATTCCAACAATAATTCAAATTTAACACCAATCCTCTAAAGTATTAAGTATCCCAATGATTTGGTGTTTTGATGATTTGGTTCCATGATAGCCGGATCACCTGGGCAGTATTAGGAAGTATATGTGATGAAATTTACTCCAGACCTGTGATAAACTTCATTTCTTTTACATGTAACCAATTTAATTCTTAATCTATGGATACTTCCAACCATATAATATTTACTGAAGTCTGGTCTTGGTTTGCAGATAGAGACAGTCTCCCCAGATGACAAGAAAGATCTGAAAAGCATTTCAAATCAAGATCAATTTAAGGTAATGTTTACTGATGCATCCCTCGAGGATCAATTTATATTGATCTGTTGAGGGTAATTCTGCTTCTCTGCTTTGCTACAGAGCATAGATGCTAAGGTGCGGGAATGGTCAAAAGGAAAGGAAGGAAATATACGGTCGCTCCTCTCAACTTTACAATACGTGAGTACGGAAAAGATATGTGCAACACAATGAATATTTTGCATCATATATGTTTCTCTTATCTATAGATTGAAACTGCATGGTTTTCTTGTTTTCTCGTACTTCAAAGAAAAATCTTGTGCCTCTATTCTGTGAAGTGTGATTAACATTGATAATCTTGGAAAATTGAATGTTGTAGCCCACATCTCATTAGTCATTAAGTATGTAAGGTAGCCTTCTTATATTCAAAAGCAAACCGGTATATTGTAGTTACACAAAAAAGAAACTTGAATAAAATCATGTGAGTCTAGTAGTAATGTACAGGATATGGATTTATCTGGCGTCCTAATTTTACTAGTAATCCAATTATCTCGCCAGAAGCCTGTGAAAAACCATAACGTCTAATATCAGGCTTTTGGGCAGCAGTGATGCGAGAATGCACAAGTTGGGATATCATTTTGTCACTTGTTCATTGCAAAGTATTTTGGTTCATCCTAGACAAGAACTTAATCTGTCACTGCACAATGTGCCATATATAAACTATACCACAAAAGCGCACATGCATGCACTCGTGGGCACACGCGCTGCATGCATGGGTGAGTGCATGTGTGCGTGTGTAGGTGGGTGGGTGCATGTACGTGTGTGAGCGCGTGCGTGCGTTGGTGCATGGGTGGGTGGGGGAGTGGATGGGGTGAGCACGGGTGGGTATGGGTGTGGGTCTGGGTGTGGGTCTGGGTGTGTGCTTGCACGCATGTATGTGCATGCGTGCACGGCGTGGGTGCGGATGGGCATGTGCATGCGAGCTACCTAAAGTTTAAATTCATGAAATAATTTTTTATTATAAATTACTACGTAATAAGTTTTACCCGAGTAATACTTTCATTATGTTATGTATAATGTTTTCAAATTATTATGTTGAAGTTGTCGTTATTATTGTTGTTATTGAAGGAGCCTAGAACCCCTGCTTCAAGTAGGAAATTACAGAATATAGAAAAATTTCTGACAGGAAAATAACTAGAAACCGTTGCTAGCATCTATGAAATAAAATCTTTTCAAACTGTTAATTCTTTGTAAAATTCTATATAACCTTCTCATGAGAAAGAACTATTAAATTTTCTTTAATAAATTTCATGCCAAATATTGATGTTGATGAGCCTGTTTATTTCTGGCAATAAAACATTGATGTAGCTATTATTAGTTGATCATGTACGAGTATTTTGTGGTTCACGATTTAATTCAAACTAATTACTCTTTCCTGTTTATTCCTTAGGTCCTTTGGCCAGAGAGTGGATGGAAACCGGTTCCACTTGTTGATATAATTGAAGGAGCCTCTGTGAAGAGAGCATACCAGAAGGCACTATTACGTTTACATCCAGATAAGCTACAACAAAAAGGTGCAGCGCCACATCAAAAGTACATTGCAGAAAAGGTTTTTGACATTATGCAGGTAACTGTGTTTTCTCGACTTTTTATGAGGGGTAACTGTTAATTCTAATATAACCATCTCTAAGCTTTTTCTGGCAACCAAGTTGTAAGTTGTAATTATAAATTGACAGAAACCAGTGGTAATTTGTTAAGTGAAACTATGGCAGTAGTTTCGGAATTTTAGAAGGGTGAAGACATATTCCAGGCTTTCAGTTTCCTCTTACAATCGTGTCAGAAAACTGTCCCTAAATTGATTTGAAGATTGCTGCTAAAATTGTTCCATGGAGTATGGATCTTAAATGATATAAGCTTTTTACTCACTGTTGTTTTAACCTTATATCAGTTCTAGTGGATTTTTTTTCTTTATAATAATTTTACTGTATATAGCATGATAGCATTATAACTATGATCTAGCACAGCAGCGCTAGATAACCTAATCAATTAGCAACTATGCATTAGTATAGGTGAAGGTATTCACTGTTTAATAGTTGGTGTCACTTGCTATTTGCTTGCCTTGTCACCATTGACTATCTGAAATCATTGTCCTAGGCTGTTTTGTGGCCAATAACTGCTTGAGGTCAGTTCATTGATCAGTACATTAAACTTTTAGTGCTCCATCCCACGTTTGCTTTTCATTCTGGTAGCCATGGCTTGAAGGCCCTGAATCTCACCCTTTTGTTAGTCCATCGATTATTCGTAACATTCTAATTTTAATATAACCTAGTTTATAGCAAATGAGATAGGGTCAATGGTTCGTCTAGGGGAACATTTACTTATAAAGATGAAAAAAGTAACATTATGCTTGTCTCAAGTGCAATAACTCAATCAAATTAAGAAGTTAATATAGATATCCTCTCCCAATTTAACAAAACCATGATATATAGGTCACCTGACTCCCCCTCAACTATCTTTCAATGATGTATTTTCTTCTTTCTTGTAGACGAGTGACTTCGCGTAAGTATGATGTGCCTGGATATGTCATTGGTTTTAGTAGGACGACTTCATCTTCTTTGGTTTTTTTTCAGGTGAATTAAGCGTCAAAACTTCATAACCTGTTATTATCCAGTCTCCTGTCAAGTAGTTGTAGGTAAGAAAGTTCTGTTTTGAAATTTAAAAAAACAAGAATAAACATGGAATTTATTCTTTGTAAATTGTGAATTCCATATAGGAAAAGGGTCAAATATCCAAGTAATTTCCTACTTCTGAATTTTAATGAAACAAATTTAGTATTTTCCATTTTGGCGCTACTACTATTTGAGTCTCATTGTCAGATTATGCTAACCCAAATTTCAGAGGATCCTTTTTATTTTTCCGCTGGAAGTATGGTCTCATGTTGAGCCTTTTTATTTTTCCGCAGTCAACTGTAGTTTAGATTTATGAAAGGCAAAGGTATCCGTGAGATCTTGTATCTTTAAAAATATATTTTGCACGTCACATAGATATTCTGATTCTTGATCTTCTTTGGTATATTTATTATCACTTACGACATGTGGAAGTTTTGAGCATAATGCTTTGAGGGCCAAAATTTAAATTATGAATATATGATGAAAATCAAATAATCCAGTTAGAATGTTTTGGCCAAATGTGTCGGAGCCATATAGCATATTTCACTATTTGTAGGATTCAAATTTTTAAATCAGTGAAATTAATTAAACTATGTATTTCAACTCTATAATGGCCTTGAGCTCTATTTGCAAACTAAGTGCATTGTTCAATTTGAAAACTAAAATAAACATATGAATGAAACCTATTTGAAAACTAGAACTAGCAAATAAAAATGTTATTCTTGTGCCTCCTAGAGTGAATAATTGCTGGCATCTAGCCAGATGATGTACTTGTGAAATCCACTTGCTAATTAGCTTTGGACATTTAAAAGTTATCTGCTAACTTCTGTATGTTCTTTGACAAGCTTTGCTCTTTAACCATCCAAATCAAAGTAAAAACAACAGTAATATAATTGGCAATTAAAATTTTTGATATGATGTTAAACTCAGATCCCTTTCTATCGTGTTCCTCATGGAATTGTAATTTCTGCTTTTGTCTCAGGAGGCTTGGGATCATTTCAATTCAAGCAGTCAGATATTTTAGCATGAACGTGAACATCCTTCGGTTTATATCGACACCAAAGGATTGGATTATATTTTCTGCAGTTACAATGATATGTGTGATTTACGCATCCAGAATGTGATTGTTACACATCAAGAAAGTAAAACACGCTTGTTTCTCTGGCACTGGCTGGAGTTTGTAGTCTCTCCTCTTTTTCCTTCAATAAACAATGAAAGGCTTGTAAAATGGACAGTATATGACTGTATATAATTACATAATCTGAGATTTTTTATATCAGATTCTGCGTCTGACATAATGAAAAGGATTACAAATTTCTTTTACCTTATTCTATCACTTGTTTTATTTAAGTGCTCAAATGTGTGAAAAGTAGTTATTGTCCATATATCACTCGGTGGTGGTTTTACTTCTCTGTCTAAATTTGGGTTTCCCTTTGAATGAAATGACCACAAGAGAAAGGTATGTATAGATAGATAAAGCGAAAGTCAATACAATTCTAGGACATAGCACTGACATGTATTTTGTCGGTATGGTTCTCGTTTGATAAAAGATTTTTGAATGTTTATCATACTCTATGATTACCAAAGGCCATCAATGCAAATTACAGAAGAATGCAAATTACAGAAGTTTGTTACTGTACTCTGTAAGCTCCTTACTAATTAATAATGGTTTATATTACTATTTAATCTGATTTTACTGGAGGCAACAAATGACAAGAGTTTAGGACAGTCTTTCCGTTGATTATCTACTCGCTCATTGAGGTAATGCAAGTGTTTTGTAGGTGAAGAAGAGGCGATGGGGATTGAACTGGAAGAGTTGTTTTGTTCATGTTGCCAAGTGAAACCAGGGTTTTGCTTCAGATGTCCCGTATGATTGGAATGCATTCTGCTGGTTTTTAACAAACTTCAGAGATGCTGTATTCTGCACTCCGAAGAGGTTAATTTTCTCTTTTAGGGGTACTATGTCTTACTCTTCAGTGAATAAAGAAATAGTAAATATCACAGAGGGTCCTCTGTAGAAAGTGGAAGGTTGTATAAGGAGACAGGGGATGAATATAGCTGGCCTAACCTGAATTTGATACGCACGTCACTATCACTGTAAATGCAGACAACATTGGTATACAATCTGTATGAACTTATATGCATATTAAATTTCATGATAGACTAGTTGTAGGCATCTCCCGTCCTTCTATATGGTTTTCTACAGAGAGCCGCCCTCCGTAATACTTTTCTTTCTCCCCTGCTTTGCAGACTCTTGATTCTCCTGGTGCTACGAACTCTTGGATATACTTCTGCGCTGCACATTAGCCAGTTTTTTTTATTTCCCATCCCCAAATTATTATGGTATAGGAGAAGATAAAAGCCAAACCGATGTGATGTCATGCCTTGCTTGTCAGGTGTACGTTTGTGTGTAGGTAGGGTAGGCAACAGGACGGGCTGGCTCGTCCCGTGGGTTGGCCCGTGCTGGCC